GTAGGTGGATGGCCCCTCATTAAACACAGTAGACTATAAGAAGTACAGATGATGGGCAGAGAATGAGGCATGTTCTGTTGGATTTTAAGTGCCTGGGTACTTTGGGAGGAAAAATTACATAGGTAGTTGGAAATATGGACTTGGGATCCTCAAGAGCTGTCAGTAGCTGGAGGCATGGATTTTCAAGGTGCTCAACTGGAACTTGGTAAGGATGGGACTGCATGGAAAGCTGAGAAGCCAGGCTTCTGTGTCTGAGGTTTACTGGCCAGTCTCTGAAAGTGTTCCAGCCTTCCCTGCTTCCATTCTACCTGATACCAAGGGATTCTGGGTCCCCTGTGGATGTGAGCTGACACTGGGCAGCCAGAGGACCCGGGGAACGTTTGAATGGAAGGCAGAGCAGGAGGAGCTAGAGGAGTACACAGAGGGATGGCAGCGTGAGGAGGCGCTTTCAAACTTCAATTTCTATTTCCATCCATTGCAACCACCTCTTCCTTGTTTACTCCATTTTTTGTCCCTCCTTTTCAGATTTAACTAGCCAAGTTTAGCTGCCTAAGAAGGTAATGGAGAAGGAGCCATGTGGCATGCAAAAAACATTTCTTCTCCTTTATGCCTCTGTTTTGTTCATGTTCTGACAACCAGCAGGGACCCCAGCATTTCTGCCCAGTTAAACAATAAACCCAAGGTAAAAAATAAAGGCTTTTTTTTTTTTGTCTTTAGACTGATCTTTAGTACATCCCAATATTAAGACATTAATTAAGGCCATTTGAATGCAGTTTTCTGAGATCATCAGAAGTACAAACCTCTTCTAGGTTTTCCTTCTGTTGAGCTGAACAGTGTGCTTGTAGCCTAGTGTTTCTTTTGTTGCCTGTAGTTTTGGGTTTTTTTTTTTTTTGTGGTTTTTTTTACTTTTTTGACTTTTTGAGACAGGGTTTCCATGTAGCCCCAGCTGGCCTGGAACTCACTAAGTAGACCAGGCTGGACTCAAACTCACAGAGATCCACCTGTCTCTGCCTCCCAAAAACACCTGGCTAAGTTTTTGGGTTTTTCACACTCCACCAAATTAGATGAGACTGAATTAAAAAAGAAAACTCTGAGTCATATCTTCTAGATTTTTAACCTTAGCCTAGTTGTCTTAGTCTGTTTCTTCATTTCTGTGACAAAACACTCTGACCAATACCAACTGGGGAAGGAAGAGGTTTATTCAGCTTATATCTCCCAGGTTACAGTTCATCAGGGAGCCCAAGGTAGGAACTCAGGGCAGGAACCTGGAAGCAGGAGCTGGAGCACAGGCCATGGAGGAACGCTGCTTACTGGCTTGCTCCCCTGGCCCCTGCTCAGCCTGCTTTCTTATACAACACAGGCCCACCTGCCCAGGGGTGGCACCACCCACAGTGGGCTGAGCGCTCCCCCCCATCACTCAGCAATCAAGAAGGTGCCCCATGGACATGGCCACAGGCCAGCCCAAAGAAGGCAGTTCCCCAATTGAGGCTTCCTCAACCCAGGTGTGTCAAGTTGACACTAAAGCTATCCAGCACACTAGTCATACAAAGAATGGCAAGAATTTACTACATTTTCATGTTGTTAATGCCTACAAACTCACTATTCCTCAACATTGAAATAACAAATATTTTATCATTGTGTTACCATTATAATACTGCATTCTAACTTGAATGGTCAGTACTGCTTAATTGGATGTAATGATTTTAAGGATGGCAGTGTACTGAGAAACATGCTAGACATCATGACATTGAGCTTTTCTGAGCAGAGATTCATCACATTCTTCAGAAGAGAGAAAGGCATAAGCTATAAGACTTGGTGCCTCCTCCCTGCTGGCCTTACCAGCAATCGTTGAAATGCTCATATCTCACAGGGCCTTCCTACTCCTTCATCACCTCTGCCTTTCTGTTCCTACAAGAATCTACCCTGTACTTCACATACACCAAGCCTGATCAAGTTGATGATGTGTATCTCTGTTTCATTGTGTTGGCTCAGGTCAGATTAAGAAATAAGATAATGAGACATGACAAAGAAAGCAAGAACCTAGAAGACAAACCTTGCAAGCATCATGCTTTTCTTAGCAATGGAAATGTTTTTCAGGGGATTGTTAAGATCCCATTAGGGCCCACATTTCCCTAACTCCATATTCTGTATTCACTTGAGATGCCTAGCCAGGGCCTCTAGCACAGGTCCCCTCTGTATCAAAACTCCCATTTCCTCCTGAGCCAAAGCAGGTGATACTGTTTCCTAGCTCCATTCTTCTGCGAATACTCCAGGTACATATTTTCTGGGGCCCATGGTGCCAGTTCACTGTTTTCTAGGAAGCAGTGTGACTTGGTACAATCTAGAGTATTGGAGTCAGTGTGTGGTAGGTTTGACCCCTCCAGCCTGCCATGCCAGCTGTGGGATCTTAGATCTCTCAACTCTTCTAAGGACTGAGCCTCTGTCTCTTCAGCTATAAAATGCGAATCATATCATCTGCATCCCAGGATTATTAGGGTCATAAAAGAGTGTGAATTTGGCACAGGCCTGTCACAGTAGGTGCTTATTATCTCCATTTTCATGTTTCTGGCCTCTTAGTATATACTTTGCATCTTCTTTATGTATTATTTCTCAAATAAAAATTGGGTGCAAGGATTTGGGGCGGGGGGAGCTGGAAAGATGGTTTAGCGATTAAGAGCACTTACTGCCCTTTCAGAAGACCTGAGTTCAGTTCCCAGCATCCACGTGGCAGCTGACATCCAGCTAACATCTCTCCTTAACTCCAGTTCCAGGGGATCTAGGATTCTCTTCTGGTCTCCCTGGGTACCAGGCATGTATGTGGTGTACTTACATGCAGGCAAAATATTCATACACATAAAATAAAAATAAAATATTTTTTAGAAAGAAAGATTTGAGATCAAAATATTATGGGTAGCTGGGTGTGGTGACACACTCCTTTAATCCCAGCACTCCTGAGGCAGAGGCAGGTGGATCTCTGTAAAATCGAGGCCAGCCTGGTTTACATAGTTCCAGGGCAGTTTGGGCTGCAGGGAGACCCCATCTCAAAAAAAAATTATCAGTGATGGCTAAATGTATATTAATCCAGTCATTGATATAGAAGATAAAAATAGTTTAGGCTAAGATAGGGCTCAGTGGTTAAGGGCACTTACTGCTCTTACAGAGGACCCGAGTTTAGATCCTAGTATCTACATCACGAAACTTAAAACTACTTAAAATTCTAGCTCCAGGGAATCCAACTCACTTTGCTTACATGTGGTGCACATAAACTTACATAGGCACATACAGATGAATACTAACTAAATCTTTAAAGAGTGTGGGATTGGCGAGGAGGAGAGCCAGGCCTGTAAGGCCTGTAAGGAAGCTGTGTCCACCTAGGAAGAAAGGAGAGGGACCTAGCATTAGCAAAGGCAGAGGCAGGAGAGTACAGCTGCGATGGTGGAGCCCAGACTGGAGTAGAGATGAGAGCTCTCAGGGGCCTCGTAGCCTCATTGTGAAGGGCTACAATTATCAAGCCATAAAGTCTGATTTGCCTTTCAGCATGAAGATCATCAAATGTGCGTGCGTGCGTGTGTGTGTGTTTAAATTTTTTAAAAAATTGAGACAAGGTCTCACTATGTAGCTCTGGCTGGCCTGGAACTTACTATGTAGACCAGGCTGGCCTGGAATTCACAGAGATCCATCTGCCTCTGCCTCTCACTCCCAGAGTGCTGGCTGAATTCAAAGGCATATGCCACCATACATGACCTTTTTTTTTTTTCAAAGCAAGAGAATGATATGATTTGAAATGACTTAAGATAATCCTCTGAATGTAATTCACTAAACCAACACTAACAGCTCTGCTGTACGGTGTGTGGAGTACATATCCCATTTGTCTTTCCACATATATGGAATGTCTTCAGTCATGCTAGACTCAACAAGTAACACAGAACTTAGAAAGCAGAACCTTTGACAACGCCAGGAATTTTCATTTGCTACAAATTAATTTTTTGATTATAAGTAACTGGACCTCACCTTAATTTAGAGAGTGGAATTTTTTAGACAGTTGTGGTAGCACATACTTATAATCTCAGCATTGTGGAGGCCGAAGCAGAATTGCTGAGTTCCAGGCCAGCCTGGTCTATATAGTGAGTTCAGGTCAGTTGGGGCTACAGGGAGACCCTGTCTCAAAAAGACAAAAAAAAACAACAAAGCACATGATGTTGGGAGGGAGACATGATAGGGGACAGGGGAGGAATTGAAGGGGAGGGAATGGGCAGTGGATTTGATCAAAATGTAATTTTCAAATAAAAAAGTATTTTTTAAACTTCAAAAGAAGGCGTGGTAGAGCATGCCTTTAATCCAAGGGAATCTCTGTGAGTTCGAGGCCAGCCTGGTCTACATAGTGAGTTCCAGGCCAGCTGGGGCTACAGGGAGACCCTGTCTCAAAAAGACAAAAAGAAAAAAAAACTCAAAAGGAAAAAGAAGGTATTTTCTCCCTATTATTGGGGATTGAACACAGGGTTGCACATGTTAGGTAAGTGCTCTACCACTGAGCTATATCTCTAGTACTTTATATTTTGTTTTGAGAAGGTCTCACTAAGTTGCCCATTCTGTCCTCAAACTTTTCATCTTCCTGCCTCAGCTTTCTGAGGAGAAAGGAAATTTACTGGCTTATGTCAGGGTTGGAAACCTAAGGGCTATAGCCAGGGAGCCATATGATAGTGTTACTTCTGTAGTGTTGACTGTTCTCCAAAAGCAGCCACCCAGACTCAAATACCTAAATTGGGATCACTCCTCACCTCAAAAGTACCCTCCTTGGTCCTGTTTGTGTTTGAGCCCATTCCTGAACCAGTCACTCTTTCCAGGGGGGAATAAGACATACTGATAAGAGAGCACATGGAAGAGGAGCTATCAGCTGTAGAGATCAAGAACCAAAGACTCAGGGGTACCCTCTCCAATTTCAGTTCCTTATTCTGTTGCAACTTTCCATTAATTTTATTTTCCTTTATTAAAAATTCTACTTTGATGGAAATACTTTTGCAGCCAGTTATTCTTCACAGCCCCTGGATGAGAGTTGGCCAAGGTAAGCAAACTGTGTTGAAAGATATTTTAAAAGATATAAGCATATATTTTTTTAGATGATTTCACTTTGCTTTATCCACGTTGAATGCTGTTTTAGACTTACTGTGTTTAGTGTTGTTTAACATTTCAGACAGGGCCTCACATAGCCTAGGCTGGCTTCAAACTCACTATGTAGCCTAGAATGGCCTTGAACTCCTGATCCTCCTGCCTCCAGTTTTCTAGTGCTAGGATTACAGGCATGTGCCACATGCCCAGCTAGATATTTTTACCATAAAAATAGAACTTTGTTTTATCTTAGGACACTTAAGTCTTAAGCCTGGGTGTGTTGGTACATGCCTTTAATCCCAATAAGCAAGAGGGTGAGAAAGGAGAATCACAAGTTTGAGCAAACTCCAGGCAGCCTAGGCTACAAAGTGAGACCCTGTCTCCAAAAGCAACAATAACATAAAAAACTTGTCTTTCCATGTACAATCCTGAACTTACTTGAAAATATACAATATAAATTATTTAAGCAAATCTAGATTCAAATAGAAACATATTAGGCTAACATTTACCAACAGATTGATGGGAGATAAATTTTTATACACCTGGAATAAGACCTCCTGCCCCTTAGAGAGGGGGTCATCATAGCTTTGACTAGTTTCAGCCAACATCCAAAGTGCTTGTTTGCCATTTGTTATTACCATATATGCCCCAGATAGCCAGTGCTGTTCTATGGATTTTCAATAGTTACCCTGGAAATCAGCTCCTATACCCTCAGAGATCATTCAGTCTGGCCTCCTTTCTGCAGTAATGAGCAAAGAGAGTGAGGCTTGGGCATTCCAGGTAACTTCCAGCTGTGCAGCTAGGTTAGTAGAAGAGCCAGCTTTCAAGCCCAGGTCTGAAGTTCTCCTTCACTCCTGTGATTAAACTTATTTCTCTTTTATGTTGTTCTGGTTTTTAAAGGCAGCAGCCTCCTTGGAAAGAAGAAAAGCATCCTGGATTCAGGCTCACATCTGCACTTAACAGGTACATGGGCTATTTCCTAATAGAAGTAGATTCTAAAGGAGACCAATTTGATTGTCCCGATAGTCTTTACATATTATCTTGCTGCAAAGTTTGTTTATGTCAGTTGTGTTTGTAAGAAGTGGTAAAGAAAAAAAATTACTGAATTGTAGGGATTATAACAGTACAGTAGAAGAACAAGAGATCTGGAGGGGACCGCCATGGTTCGACTCTTAGTGTGTGAACCTGAGCAGAGTAACTTCTATCTGCTTTAGTTTGAGCATGGAGGCAGTTGTACCCATCATAGGATGGCTGTGAGGATTAAATAAAATACTACATGGTAACAGTGTTCAGTAAATATCAATTATCTTCATGATCACTTTGGACCGTACTTTAGGAATAACCTAGGACGTTTTTTAATCTTAGCACTGCAAGAATGAATGCCAGTTTTCTATTTTAAGGAGATAAATGACTTGCTCAAAGCCCCTTACATAATATTTAAAGGGACTAAGATTTTTAAAAAATGCTTGAATTGGCCACGGTGGCTCTCTATAATCCCAACACTCCAGAGGCTGAGAGGCAAGAAGACTGCAAGTTCAAGAGCAGCATGGGCCATATAGCTGGACCTTGTTAAAAGCAAAAACAAAAACAAAAAAACTTTCAGTGGTGCAAAAATTTTAAACATACACAGGAGAAAGTTGTCAGAGACCCCCTGTGCCCACTAAAGTGTGATGTAGTCTTGATTGGAACCTGCCAGCCTCATTTCTTCTCTACACTCCACTTCATATATTATTCCCATGACCATCTAAAGCGTCTCACCTGTAAATATCTAACAGTATAAGCCAATGAGAAGCTTGAAAAAATTATAGCCACGTTTCAGACAACAAAATTAATAGTAATTTCCTCTGCATGGTCCAATACCCAGTCTGTATCCCATTGTCTCTGCATTCAACGGTGTTCTCTTGAGTGTCTCTGACTCTGAAGGCGCTGAGCTCCCACAGCTCAGGCTGTATCTGCTGCATCCTAAGGGTTTTTCCCTTGTTGCCTCTTCCCTCTTTTGAAGCCATGTGGCTTAATAGTCACAGTTGCCTGGGGCAGACCACAAAGAACCATTTTAGGCTAACTTAAAGTTGCTCATGTGTCCCCCTTTATGTCAGACAGTTTGACCTTGGATGAAATAAATAAAAAAGTGTCTTTTGAAGCTGAGGCTGTCCTTACACTAAGAGCCATCTGGGAGAATTTGAGAAATTTGCTATTGATCAGTGGTTCCCAAACTTCTTGTCTTAGGACCATTTTACACTCTTAAAAAACACTGAAGCCCTCAAAGAGCACTTCTCCATGTGAGTATACCTATTGATATTTATCTACTGATACTAGAAACCAGACTGAGAGATTTGAAATGTACTCATTAATGCATTTAAGCATAGCAAATAATAAACTTATTACATGCTAACATAAACATTTTTAAAAGAAACACAGCATTTCCTAAAACAACAACAACAAAAACTACTGAGAATAGTTGTATTGTGGTACCTTTTACCAAGCTCTTGAAGGCCGCCAGAGTCTGCCTGTGCTTCCAGGCTCTGGTGGCATGGCACATGGACACAGCTGCTGGAAAAAAAAAACCCACTGTGCCACCAGTAAGAGTGAAGAAGCAATGGACGTGGTAGTATTATTTTGAAATAATCTTGATCCTCCATTCTCCCCCAAAAGGGCTTAAAGGCTACTGCTCTAGGTGGTCCTTCACATAGGGCAGAAGTTCTCAGACAGAGAGAAAAACTAGTGTGGCCAAAGATTAGACTAGCCACGGCCCATCTTCTGAGTTGCAAAGAGGAAAAGGAAGGTCTTAGAGGAAAGCTGTGCATCTGAGTCCTGCCTTGCTGAAATAGGTCACCATGCCATTAGCTTCAAAGCATTAAGGCTGTTCAAATACAAATTAAGCTCTGTGGACATGTGGTAGTCCTCAGGTACCCTTATTGATGTAAAGGACTTCAGGTAGGTCCTGACCCTGCATTTTATGGATTGTAAGTCGATTATTTTCGCCTTCTTTCCTGTTGGTAATATTCAGCAAAGAAACTGCATTTCACTAAGGAAAAATGGATTTTCAGCCAGACTTTCTCCTCCCCTCCTTAGGACCAATTCTGATTCTGCTCTTCACACGAGTGCTCTGAGCACCAAGCCCCAGGACCCCTATGGAGGAGGGGGCCAGTCAGCCTGGCCTGCCCCATACATGGGTAAGACACACAGGCCCCTGCTTTCTCATTCTGCCCTGTAGGAACTGAGAGAGAAAAGCTTATGTGGTGCTTGTCCTTACCCCGTTTGCTGGTCTTCAGAGAAAGCCACAGGCAGGGAAGGTGTGTGTGGTCGTGATAGAGTTAGATATACCCCTTCCATGGCACCTTGCTGGCATCTCTTAGCCTTTGAACTTCTCTTCCCTGAGGTACCAGCCCTTTTCTAGGCACTCATCATCTTTTACATGGACTTTTCCAATAACATGCTTGCTGGTCTTTATTCCCAACTTTACATCACTCCAGTCTAATTTATGTTGGGTTCTCAAGAGTCTTTTGTTACTGATAAGGTCAGGTAGAGCGACTGGCTTCCCTTTGTAGGTCTGTGGACCTTGTATTGCTGAACTCCAGGATGAGGCAGACTCTCCCAGGGGACAGCAGCACTGGCACAGGTGGTCCCCATGGGAGGAGTACTCAAGACTAGGCGGTAGGGGAGAGCCAAGGAGGTCTTTCTCTGTGGTAAGGCATGTCCCGGAGAACAAGGTGAGGGAGAGGGTGCAGAGCTGTAACCAAACATTGCCTGTTTCTTGCTGCTCAGAACACCATTCTTCCTCCCTTGGGCCAGAGAGAGTCTGAGAAAAAAGAACCAGGAAAGGGTAGACACATACCACCTCATGCCCTCTGCTCTTCATGCTCTCCTACTGAACACCTCAGTACCACCCTCTCCTTCCAGACCTTCATTTGGAGCGACATGGACCCTGGCATACATCTGTCTTCTGTTCCCAGCCTCAGTCCCCACATCAGCTGTGTGAACCACCTGGATTCTACTGCTGTTTAATCCCATTCTCATATCTCCCTCTCCTACCTGGCCTTAGCTGTGTTCATACTTCTGTGGAGCCTTCCAGCCCCTTCCTCCCCCTGCTGATTCAGAGCTACCCATGTTCTCTCATGTCCCAAAACTCCTACATGTAGGTGTTGTGACCACCTGCAAGCTCAACTACTTCTTTGTGTAGACACTTCTCTACCTCTGCTTAGGGTAGATTTCTCAGAAGCAATATCTTAAAGACCTTGTCCTAACCAAGACCTGACACAGTGCCTGGTACAGAGGAGCCCTCACTGCTGGAGAAGTGTGAAGAAATCCGACAGTGGTTCATGGTACTGAGCACTCCAAAAGTCAGTCTACTCTGTGTCCCTACATCTAACCTGCACCTGAAGTGAGGATGCTTCATTCAGATGCTTTCTATACCTGTCTTTCTGGACTTTCTAATCTAGAAAGAACACAGGCTTCCATATATAGATTGACTATGAGTACAAGGATTATCCAAGACATTAGATTTTCTGGTTTTCTTTACATTTTTAGCCTATTTAAAGCCTAAAATGTCTGTGTTCCTTCTGAGGAAAACCATTCATGTACTTCCTTCCTTGCAGATAGTGTGGATGGGGTTTGATACAGTTGATGCTGTATTTGATGCTGTATTTGTTTCTTTGGTGCCGTTCATTTGCTAAAATTACTATTTGCTTGTAAAATGTGAAAGCTTTTAGAATTGGTTAGGGACATCTGACATATTTCCACACATGGGAATAAGAGAATAAAGTTGGCTGGGAAATTGGAATTGGATATGGGTCACTGAACAGTGTGTAGAGAGGTGGGGTATGTGGGATACATATAAAATATATGTATATCCTTAAAACAGAGACCGTAACCAGTTAGAGGTGCCTATGAGCCCAGCAAGGTATTTATCATCCTGAGTAGGAGCCACCCAGCCTGATAGGTTTTTTTTGTTTTGTTTTTTTTTTTTGCCCTGGAACCTTTGTGTTTCTGCCTCTGCATTGTCCTCTGTGTCATTATGCTTTTCTAGAAGGGGCCAAAGGCCTCTAGAGGACAAGGGAACCTAAGGCAGTTTAAGGAGTTTTAAAGGTTATCTACAAAGAGAAAAGTAAATAAAGAATTGAAATATTTATTCTAAGGGTAATGTAGCCTCTAAGGGAAGAGGTAAGAGCTATCAGCAGGTGCAAGAATGAATCAGAAAAGTGAACCAATTCAAATGTTGATTCATGTGGGCAGAACAATAAGGAAAGAGAGGGAGAGGAAGAGAGGAAATCCTGGACAGGGCTCCAGGTTGCCTTGGGAATCTTGGTGGTCTCCTTTAAAATCAGCAGTTAGAAACTATAGGGCCACAATACCTCCCAACCATGAAAGGTGGGTCAGCCTCCAGCATGAATGTCTGCCCTGTGTGCCTGCTCCTGTAGTCGCCTTGCGAGTATCACAGAACTCAGAAACACATCCAAATATGGATGTGTTTACATGGGAAACCCAGTGTGTTTAAAATATTATTCAAGTCTCCAAGGATGGGAATTATTTCTGGAGAATTATATTTGTTGGTAAGAGCTATTTTAAATGGTTTTATGTATTTTCCCCCTGTAGTTCATTAAAGTTTTTCCTTTTCTTTCCTTTTGGATTTTAAAAATACCAACTAGCTTCACAAAAAAGGTATTTCTTTTTATAGAACCCACCAAATAAAGTAAAAAAATTTTAAATGATGGGAAAATATAATCAAGGTCCATAACTAGGTTCTGTGGTAAAAAGAATAATAGCTGCTCTTTCCTGGGAATCTTTCTTGTGTACAGTGATGGAAGCCCTTCATTGTTGTCATTGTTGTTAGGAGCAGATGATGAGGGAGTACCTGCTTGTAGCTTAGCTACTAGAGTCATCAAGTATATGATCTATTCTCCAGCTCAGTTTTATGTCCCCGGGAAGTAAAGCCATTAGCCTGATACATGTTCAGTAATTTTTATAATGGTTATCAAGTTACATGGCAATTAGACATAAATGATATGCAGTTGTAAATGACAGAAATAAACTTTTATACCACCAAACAGAGGTTTTATAATTTCTCTTTTCTTATTTAATTACCCATTTCCCTGGCAGCATGTGCAGTTTAATTACTGTTTCACACACATGTGTGGATGGATAGACACAATGGCTCTCTGTGACACTTGCTCTGTCCCACAGTCTTGCTTTGTCCCTAAACTGTCTAATAGCAGCATGAGGAGGAGGGGGTTAGAGTGGCCTTGCTCTTCAGGGAATAGCCTAGGGACTAACAGAAAAGAGTGCGGACTATGTCTCTGAGTATTACAGTCCTCCAAGCTTCTCCTCTAAGGCACATTTTATACCTCAGTGATCTTTCAACCAGCACTAAACTCTGATTTGCAGAATTAAGGAGAAGATTTAAAATGCAAATAACCATGAAAGATATAAGCCTGAGTCGGGCATGGTAGCTAAGCCTTTTGTCCTAGCACCCAGGAGGCAGAGGCAGGTAGATCTCTGTGAATTCAAGGCCAGCCTGGTCTACATAGTGAGTTCCAGGCCAGCTGGGGCTACAGGGAGACCCTGTCTCAAAAAGACAAAAAAAAAAAAAATGTGTGTGTGTGTGTGCCTGTTAATGTATTTGTTTGCCTGACACAAGCATCTCAGGTCTGAAGAGTGTCATCAGGAGCTGGGGAGATGGCTCAGTGGGTAATAAAGTTCCTGCTATGCAAGTGTAAGGACCTGAGTTTCGATCCCAAGAACCCATGAAAAAGACAGATGTGGCAGCATGCAGCTGTAATCCTAGAACTGCTGTGGTAAGAGAGGAGGCTGGGACAAGAGACTCCCCCAAAGCTCACTGGCCAGGTCTGGTGTATAGAGTGGCACGCAGCAAGAGACTGTCTCAAACAAGGTAGTTGAGGACTGACACCCAAGGTTGTCCTCTGACTTCCACATGCACACTGTTACATGCTCCATATAATATGCATGTTTCTCATCCCCACACTGGAACCAGGCTCTACTCGAGCTCTCCCTGAAGCATGTCTGAAGTATGCCTCATGTTTTCTGTCCCCACTACCAAATACCTACTTTGTGCTTCTTGCCCAGTCTATTGTGTTTGTTTTCTACTTGATTCCTGGCCTTGAGACTATCTCAGAACATATCAAATTCTGCCACAAGAACAGTCTTTAAGTAGAGAAATTCTAGAGACTTCCTTAGGATGCACTGTGGTTAAGGGATCCACCCTCATGTCTCTACTTCACATCAAGACTGTACAAGGGGTTATTTAGGCTTTCCAGGCATAAGAGCACATAAAAGCAACATCATTTCAGATGTACTTAGTTAGGTCAGCCCCCTGAGGCCCCTGTGAGGGTTTCTGGAACAGAGGTGTGGTCATTGCTGTCTTGTCCCCTATGGGACTGATGTGAATTAATTTCCTCTGTTTCAAGATATACAGTCATAACTTGCTTTTTATTTTTAATCCTTTAGTTCTAATTGCGCCCTTTGGTATTTTTTATCTAGTATTAGAAATCCAAACTTGGCTATTTTGATTGTATGCTAGTTTAGAACAACCATCAGCTTAGAACAGATTTGATTATATGCTAGTTTAGAACAACCATCAGCTTAGAACAGATTTGATTATATGCTGGTTTAGAACAAATATTGGTTATTGCTGCCACTGTCTCTGGTCATCTAAGTGGAACACCTGAGAGTGATATTTAATTTATCCTAGTTCCTTGTCTCTCACCCCCACACTGGAACCAGGCTCTACTTGAGCTCTCCCTGAAGCATGTCTGAAGTATGCCTCATGTTTTCTGTCCTCACTACCAAATACCTACTTTGTGCTTCTTGCCCAGTCTATTGTGTTTGTTTTCTACTTGATTCCTGGCCTTGAGACTATCTCAGAACATATCAAATTCTGCCACAAGAACAGTCTTTAAAACTTAGTGCTGGGGCTGGAGAGATGGCTCAGCGGTTAAGAGCACTGACTGCTCATGCAGAGGACCTGGGTTCGATTCTCAGAACCCACATGGCGGCTATGAACAGTCCTTAACTCCAGTTCCAGGGGAATCCAATGCCCTCTTCTGACCTCTATAGCATTGCACAACACGGGTGAACTTATATACATGCAGGCAATATACTCATACACATAAAATAAAAATACTAAATAAAAAATATTTTTAAAAAAAGCTTAGTGCTAACCCAAACCTCTGTTTGCCACCTCATCTGAAATACTGGCAGACTCCTTCTATCCAGTACATCTCCCATCTTGTGCAGCCAGACTGCATCATTCCCTGCCCCTGCTGTGTATGGCTTCCTCTTTTCCTCTTCTCTTTATCCTTTTCCCACTCCTCCCCCTTCTCTTTTCACTGAACAGTCCCTTAGCCTTCTACTTGTCTGAATTCCTCCGGGCACTGTAAATTGATTAGGCACATGGACTTTCTGAAGACATACTGGCCAGAGTTCTAGTCCCACAGCTAGCTATTGATCATGGGCATGGTAATAGCATGTGCCTCATACAGTTGCTCTGAGGATTACATGAGATCATTATGTGAGGTGCCCCGCACACAGAAAGCTGTTATTATTGTCTTCCTCCATGTTCTTTGCTGCCTGATTTAGGCTTGAAGTCTGCCTCCTGCTCTAGTCTGAGGGAGAGGCGGGCACTAGATATCACACAGGGAATCTGCTTGCCTCTAAGATTCACATGATGGCCCTAGTTAACTCTTCATATTGTAGGGAGTAGTCAGCCTTAGTAATTAAACCTAGACTGTCTTGATCATGAAGAGATGCTTCAATATACCACAGCAGACCATTGCATAAAGATTAATTTTTTTCATTTTTAATAGGATAATCATATTTTAATAATCAGAATGGTCAAGTTCCTTGCCTTTTCTCAAAAAGTCAAATTTTGAATTAGAAGCATCTTTCCCCTTTTTAAAAAAAACTTTAAAGATTGTTTTTATTTTACATGTATAAATGTTTTGCCTGCATGTATATAAGTGCACCCATGCATACAGTGACTGCAGAGGCCAGAAGAGGGTGATGGATCCCCTGGAACTGGAGTCACGAATGGTTTTTAGCTACCATGTGGTTCCTGGGAACTGAACCTGGGTCCTCTACAAGAGCAGCCATCTCTCCAGCCCCCTTTCCTCTCTTGATAGTCCTAACTATAGAGTACCCTTGTTTCTCTGAACCTCATTTTCTAATGCTTTGCTTTTCATACGACTTGAGAGGTGCTAACTCCCTGATTAAATAAGCAGCAGCTTAGTCCAAGTCTCTAAAACTTGGCCAATTTACTTTTCTTCTCTGTTTTTTACTCTGATTCTTTTCTTTGTTTCTTTCTCTTTCATTTTCTTTTTTGTGGTGCTGGGGTCAAATCCATGGCCTTGGCATGCTAGGCAAGCACTCTTACCACTGAGTGACATGTAAATCACATACTTTCTGGGCCAACATCTTTGGAAAATTGGGCCCAGAGTAAGTTTTCTGTCAGATGTGGTGGAGCATGCCTTTAACCCCAGCACTCTGGAGGCAGAGGCAGGAGACTGTGAGTTCAAGGCCAGCCTGGTTTATTTAGCAAGCTCCAGGACAGCCAGTAAGATCCTGTCTCTAAAAAACAAAAAGTAAAAATAAAGTTTTCAACTACTAACTTAGATTCTAGTTTGGGGCCTGGGAGAAACTGTCTTTTGTGAGTATGCTTAAGTAATGACCTGTATTCTCATTGTCAATTTGTCAATCCTGCCCCTAGGCTCTACTCATAGTTAAAGAATTTGCTCCCACTTCATGGCTTCCTATCGACACTGAGTCACCTGTCCCCAATCCCACTAATGCATAGTACAGGAATCTAGCAAATTTGTTGAATGTTAGATGTTTCATTACAATTTTATAGGCTAACTAATTTATGGTTTCATTAAAATTTTATAGGCTAATTTATGGTTTAACCCCATCCGGAAAGTTATCTAAACCCTAAGTTTAAAGGCGTAGACTTAAAATTTTGTTTTGACTCTGTGCTGAAAATTCATTTGGGTCAGTTGATCACTCAAGGAGATTGCTAGGTAAGCTATTACATTTGAGGCACAGTTTTTCAGCTTAGAGGCATAGGAAGTGCTCTACTTCATCATCTGCCGTGACTTTATGGGTTCTTCATTGAACTAGAATTTGTTCCAAGTCAGTTTTTTAAAACTTTGTGAATAGCTACCATATATACTTTTGAAATTGGCTTAGACTCTAGGTACATAATATTTAAATAACTTGATTGTATAAGAAATATATATAAGTGTGTCCATCATGGAACTTCCACCCATGGTAAGTATTAGAACAGTGACATGGATTCTGAGTTACCTGTCCTCCACCAAAATAGAGCATTTGGAAGCATTACAAACTTTTCTGCTTCGTGATTTGAAGAAAGGTTCCTAGACTTTGTCAACCAGTGAGTGTTCTTCTCTTGGGACAGAGTAAGAAAATTTAAGACTGAGATACTTTTAAAGGAAGAGTACATAAGCACCAACCTTAGACTCCAAAAGCTGCATCTGTTAGTATGACTACTAAAGCACCTTAGATGTGTCAGAACTGCTATAGCATTTTCAAAGATTGTATTTCAAATCATTAGGTTACTAATTGAGTAAATGAAAGCACTGCATAAAAGCATGTGTTTCTCTTTCCTCCCAGGTTTCTGTGATGATGAAAGTGATGGCCACGGAGAAGGTATGGACACGTGTTGGGGTGGGATGCTGACTCTTATATGTATAATCTTTCACAGCTTGACCTAATCATACTTAAATTTTCAAGACTTCCCAAAAGACTGACAGCTGTTGATTGGATTACTTACCTAAGATGCTCTAGAAAACTTAGCTAGACATGATCAGAGCCATGAGAAAGAAAATATGTGACTAGATTATAAAGGTTCCTTGTTATCCAAATCTCTACTATAAAATATCACAAGGTTGTGCAGGGAAGCAAAAGTTGTAACCACCTGAAAATATGAATGCATCAATCACTTAAACAGTTAATTGTCCTTCTCTCTTAACCCTGTCTTTGCCCATTTAGAAAGTCACTGTGAGTGATTTAAATAAAGTAAGGAAAATGCAAGTTTGGGCTTGAGATGTAGCTCAGATGGTAAAGTGCTTATCTAACATGCATGAAGCTCGGGATTCAGCCCCTAGCACCAAATAAACCAGACATGTTGGCACATACTTTTAATTCTAGCACTTAAGACATGAAGGCAGGAAGATCATAAGTTCAAGGCCAGCCTTGGCTACGTTGAGAGTTTGAAAAGAAAATGCAAATTTATTATAAGATAGCTGCAGTGTAATTTTCATTACTGAGCAGCTAAATTAGGTTTATGTGCCACAGAAATCAGGCTCATGAGGATTATGATAAATGAGGATCACTTGTACGAGAGATACAGCTCTCCATCTCCCAGCTCTCTCCCTCTCTCTCTCTCCTGCAAACTCTGTTCTGAGAAAACCATTTTAGGTGTTGAATAAAATCATGAAAAGTTGAAACATCATTAAACATCTAATACATCAGAGCAAAAATGAAGAAATTACTTCAAGGTTTTCCCCAGTGAATTCTTTGTATACAAAAAGAAACTAAAAACAGTGAACTCAAAGAAAACAATCCTAAGTCACTGTCCTGTAACCAATCTCTTTTGGGCCTTAAGTCATAAAGCTGCCTGGCTTAGCCCTGGAAACATTGCTAGCATCCACAGTACCTTTCAGAGCACTTTCAATTTTTTTTTTTTTTTTTGAAACATCCTAGTTGCTCCAGGCATTTGCCAGCTCTTGCTGGTGTTAGTTCATTTAGACTTAAACTGATCATTAGTTTCAACATAGCACTTTGCTCTTGCTTCCTTGTATACTGCTCCTTTCTAAAGTTTGTCTTGTATCTTGATTGTAAATGTTCACTTGAAAGTTTGTTGGCAAGACTAAAGCCTTTTTTTTTTTTATTTTGAGATGGAGTCTCCCTGTAGCCCTAGCTGTCCTGGAACTCACTAGGTAGACCACGCTGGCCTTGAACTCACAGAGATCCACCTGCCTCTGCCTCCCAAATGCTGTGCCACCATGCCCAGCCACACTTTCAATTCTTGTTCTCCCATTCCATTGAACTATAAAGGCTCTCCAGAGCTTATTGTTCTTGTCCCCTAGCTGTGGAGAGTTGCTATGGGTCTGCATGTGTCTTAGTTTGTTCTCTATTGCTGTGACAAAACACTCTGACCAGTACCAACTTGGGGAAGAAAGGGTTTATTTGTCTTACAACTCCCAGGTCGCAGTTCATCAGGGAGCCCAAGGTAGGAACTCAGGGCAGGAACCTGGAGGCAGGAGCTGGAGCACAGGCCATGGAGGAAC